TGTAGACTATATATGCATATATATATATGCATATATAGTCTACATATACACAGAGACTCCATCACAGATTCAACCTCAGAGGAGAGGAGGCCAGAAGGAGACGAGGGAAAAAAACGAAAGAACAACAATCGCCTCTCTTTTCAGTGAGGGCGGTCAGAGTGTTTTCCCTCATTAATCATACATTAATATTCAGACAAACACAGCTTGTTTTTTTTACCTTAGAAAAACACTCCTTTCTCCCATCTCTCCCTCTCTCTCACCTCTCAGACCTACTCACCCCCTCTTCCTCCATTGCACCCACAGTATGTGTTAAGCTGTCAAGTAGTTAAAAATAGCACAGCACACAGAGTGTGTGTGAACAGGTACTCACCTCTTATACACACAGCATGGTTAGGTCCCTTACGCACACGCACAAGTGCACACATGCACAGCAGTGGTTGCATTAGCATGGGGGGAAACACCCATGCGCCCCTCTGACAAAATCATAACAGTGACCGGCTCAGGTGGATATCCCATCAGCCACCGGCAAGCCCGGCGAGGGAGTGTCCTCGCTAAAAACACTAAGCCGACAGGCCCCAGATGTGCACGCGTGCTCACATAACCACACAAACACACACACACCCACACACACGCAATCACTGTAACTGGCCAGACAAACAACATAGACAGAAAAACAAGAACATCATGACACAAACAATAGCAGAGCCATGAACAGACATGCAACACACACACACACACACACACAGACACACACACTGACAGAGAGGTAGAGAAATTAAAGGCTAAGACGATTTAGGAGTTAAAAATAAACAAGGCAGGAACGAGGAGCACAGAGCCACTGCGAGCCCTCCTGGCAGAGGATACAGACACTCCTGTGCTATACTACAGCTCAATGGAGGGCTGGTGTTTTTAAATTCTCATTCAAATAAAACAAAAATTGTGTCCATGAGGTAAAATTTAAAAAAAACAGGAAAGTGTGTAGTATGAGCATACCCATAACAAATGTTTTTTTCTTGTATTTAAACTGATTTTTTTATGGGCTACAATCATTTTTCCACCTTATTTAATTAGCTTTTAATTCCAATGCACAACAAGCTTAATGCATGCCACATGCTGTGGAATAACTGCCAAAGGCTATGCTGAACGCACAGCCAAGTGGCATATGAGCAGCAGCCATATGAGCATGTGCATATCCAGGAACACACACACACACACACACACACACACAAACAGAGTTGTATTGTAAAACTGCATGGCTGAACACTGGCTTAGAGCTCTCCGTATGTTAATCTGGCCCATTGATAAGACCTGCTGAGCAGCTTTCTACTCACCACTCTACATAACACACACACATACACACGCACATACAAAATGCACAATATTTGCACTGCAAAATGTTATTAATTAATCTCATCAATTAATATGCAAATTACAAAATGACATAGATCATATGTAAATAAGTTTGGACTACGGCATAGAAAAAAAATATCACTTTAAACCATTTATATTTATCGCAATATCTTTTTATAAAAATCATGCTTTAGCCATCATGCACTTGGCTGTGTGATGGTAAGTCAAAGTCAGTTTGAGCAACCATTAGTAAAATGGTAAAGTAAAATCTGACATGGATATTGCTTTGCATTGTCAACACAGGCAACAATATTGTGTTTTTATGATTTTTTTTTTACCAAAAAACGAATAACTATTGACATACTGCTCAGCCCGTCACATCACTTTGATACTATAGATGAATGGTTCATCTATAATATCACCATTCACCTCCTGCAGCCCTCAGAAATATGAGGAAGAAAAACCCACCTCTCTCACGTGCATGTTCTCCAGCTGCGCTTCGGCCTCCTGCGCCGCCATGGTTATGATGCCTGTCCGCTGTCCTCGACCCCAGGTCCCCTGAACTTGACCATGGCCTTGACCTTGGCCCTGAAGCATCTCCAGCAGCCTCTGGATGCTCTCGTCCCGGGCACCCAGAGTGTGTTTCTGAGAATCGATTCTCATCTCCATCTCTTCCATGGTCTTCCTCAGCAGGAACAGCTCCTTGGCCTGCCGCTCGTGCTCCGACTGGAGCCGGAAGAAATTCTCCTCTGATGGATCCAGAGGAGGAGGCGAGGAGAAGCCCTCACACCCAGGCACCTGGCAGGGGCTGCAGGGCCGGAGTGAACCAGAGCTGGGTGCTACCACCGAACCTTGGCTAGGAGTGTAGAAGGGCTGATTTGAGCTGTTCTTCGGCCCAGGCTGAAGGGTGTTGGCAGGGCTGATTCTCTGCGCAGCTACTGCAGTGTTACAGCCATAACCAGGGCTGTGAATGATGACATCAGCTTCCTGTTGCCTGGGACTGTAGGTGTTGGATGGGCTGGCTCTCGGGCTATTCTTTGGCCCAGGACTGTGCAGGTTGCTGGAGCTTTGTCTGGGGCTGTGGCCGGGGCTGAGCCCCCCTCTGTGGTCCTGGTTTGTATGAAGTTCTCGATAGGAGCCGGAGTTCCCCTGCTGTCGCTGTTGCTGCAAGCGACTGTTCATCTCTCTGTGAGCCTTCAGCTCCTCCTGAAGCTCCTGAACTGTCAACGGAAGCTGCTACAAAGAGAGAAGGATTAAGCGAACGTTCATTTAATAAGTACACTAACACATTTAAAAATTAATAAACACAAGATGACACATTCATGTAAAAAATATACAGTGTGGTACATAAAACAGACCTTGTTTCTTCTTATATCCCCAGGCTGCAGCAGCGAGATGCGACATAACAAAGACATGCACACGCATAAAGTAAAATAGAAAGAAGATTAAATATATATATAAACCCTAAATATCAAACCATTATGTAAATTAGATTACTGCAAACTGTTGGGTGATTGTTACATGATTTTGCCACTAGGGGGGGTCATTTCTCTTCAAAACACAGGGAGAAAACCTAGAAGGTACTCAAAGCTAAAATGACGTGGGTTTGTTTGGAGGAGGTGAATATCAAAGAATGGGTCAGGATAAAGTGTGATGTTTTTTCAGATGAAAAGAAATTTATAAAATCAAAAACAATAAAAAATGACCTCAAAGAGAACCAGAACAATTACTGGCATAAATGCAGTGAGGCTTATGTGGTCCCAATAATGCCACTCACTAATCAATTGATAAATAAACTGACAAATCAATAATGAATCAAGAATACAATTGCTATATTTTCAAATCAGTGGACGAATGGATGAAATAGAATAATCAAAGGTTCATTTCTTAATAAATAAATCATTCCCTGTCATGCAGCATGGTGTGACACATAAAAGCCTTGGGAAGATCTTTGCCATGAATTCATTTTATTGGCTTGAACAATGTCTGCACAACGTTTGTAACGATGGGCTGAAGAGGTGCTAATGTAATTACTGATTGATTTGTCTTTGATTTGATTGACTAATTAATTATTAAGTGACACAAATGAGCACCAATAGAGTGGTGCTGGGGACAATACATTTCACTCAGCATTCCTGCTTTCGCCGCATGTTGCAGTGCAAAGTGTTACAAAATACAAAATGCTGATTCACATTGACATTTACATCTTGCAGCTCTTCTGACTGGCAAATGGAAATTCATTCTGAGCTTGAAACCAGAGACACAGAGCATTCTTGATGGTTGACTGAGCAGAGTAAGAAAAGGCACAAGGAAACAGAAACACGCACAAACACAGCATTGTCCTCAACAAAGACTACGTCAAAGATCTATTGACACAACTCTAAATGGAAGTTAAATTACTAATCTCTTCATCTGCGTGAAGAAATTACAATTTTTTCTTTAAATCTTCTTACTCCTCTGCTCGAGTCCAGAAGGTGGGGAACGCCAAGGACACAGAGTTGAGACGTAGGAGGGAGGCGAGGGTGAACATGGATAATCAATGCAACAAGCTAGCACTGAATATCAAGTCAGAGTGGGCGGACAATCCTCCACACAAACACACACAGCCAAGACTGTAGACACAAATACATATGTACAAGCACACACACACACACACGTACACCAAACAAACAGATGGTTCGGGGACAGCTCTGGTCATTACAGCTGAGAGAAAAGGTGACATTCCTTATGCTAATTACAAAGTTGTCTTGTCAGACTCAACTCTTCCCAGTGAGTCTCAAGGGGAAAAACACAGGGGAAATGGAGACGAAGTGATCATCTGAAAGGAGAAATGGCAGATAGAGGTGATAAGGGAGAGCAAGGTGACAGCAGATAGGAGTTTGAACAACATCTTCTGCATGAGGTATGAGGTATTGCGTTATCAAAGTGAGCAAGTAATTGAAAGAAACTGGGCTTCTTTCTGAGTTTATGATAGGATTGTAAACATTCTGAGAGAACGTTAAGGTCCAAGATGAGAGACAAAGGGGGTTGGTAACAATTTAATGAGCGATTGTTGCTAACAAATTCCTGATCATTATCAGCAGGAGCTGAACTATCCCTAGATGTGTGCATCTGTAAAAAAGGGGGGAGTAAGAGAGTATTATAATGTTTTATAATGAAAAGTAGAAAAGACAGTACAAGTGAGCGTGTGTTGGTGTGGGAGAGACCAATGAGCCGACACGTACAACTCTCGTTGAATGGGTCCTTTGCCTGGAGGAGCAGAACTGAGACAAACGCATCCATCTATCACAGTCAGGGCCAAGTGCCTGCAGACACACAGAGACTGGTAACATCGACCGTCTTGCTCCATTTAATGCTACAGACACGAGAAGCTCAACACCAGTAGTTCAGTGGCAAAGACATGTAATGTCTATAAAGTCTACTGAAGTCCCTCTGACATTTTGTAGGCGGTAAAAGTAGTGTGTGTAGTTTTTGGTGTACCTGCGTGTTCTCTTACAGAAGAGGAGGATTGGTGGTAAATGCAGATCTTCATGCAGTTGTAGCATACAATTCAGCTTGTTAAGGAAGCATTTTGAGAAACATGTATCAGTGGAAACTCTATAAAGCTACAGAACAATTACTATGTTCCTGAATGAAAACAGTTATTCATTTACAAACTTTCTGTTTTTATTGTGTTAAAGTCACAGGAAGTGTGTGGGCGTCACAGTGTCCTCACACTGTATGACAATGTGAGATGGAGAAAGCTATAAATACAAATGTAGTGGTAGCTCCTTGGTTACAGGAGGGAGGAGTAAGATGAAAGAAATGTTACGTTTTCACACAATTGTGTGAGAGACGAAGAGCAAGAGTTAGCAATAAGTAGATTCAACAGAAACTACACAAGCTGCATAGTGTGAAAGAGGATTAAATATATATCCAGAGAACAATTATATCTTTCCACCAGACAGACACAGACACACGAGGAAGTGAAAATGCCACAAAAACAAACGGTGACACAGAAGGTCGGTGAGATAGAAAAGACAAGCAAGACAGACAAAGAAAGAAGTGATATACAGTAGCTATGCAGTGAGACAGACAGATGGATAATGCCTCAGACTAAGTGGGCCAGACTCCAGGGAGAGGTGGTACAGGACAGACTGGTCACCATCCCTTCAGGAGAAGCTGAGAGCTTTTTCAAAATCTGACTCAGCCTGCTGAATAGCTGCCACTAGGGCACGTTCCCTTGGAAACACAGACAGCACTGAGCCTGGCAAGCATCTTGACAAATTAACTGCACAGAAGCCTTTCTAAGCAACCTTGAAGACGGGAACAAAAGGTATGATGTGAGAGGTATGATACACAGAGGAGATGAGCAAGTCAACAAAAATGTCTAAATGTGATGTGTGAACAGACACATTTTTGTTTCAAAATGAGATTTGCACCATTTGAAAGATGTGATCTTTTCTAATAAAGACTGCTGGTGTTAAAGTGACTAACTGTTGAATACTGAAATTCAGCATTCGATGCACTAAAGAGTTGTAAAGATGAAATTGCTTGTGTTTTGCTCACAGTCATTTCAGAATTTTCTCTTCATGTTTGAAACAAACTTCAATTTGTCATTTTTCTCACCTGCGAGTCGTCTTGATTAGTCCTGTACTGGTCCTTCAAAACCGAGGTCCTCCCCCCATCCTCCCGCCTAACCCCCTTGTCTCTTTTCACATCTGGGCTCCAGAAGTTGACATTGTTCATGCTGGGGCCCGTCCTTCCGTCCCTCCCTACATCCAGTTCTCTCCTCAGGCTGTCATTCTCCCTCTGCAGCTCCCTCAGCTGAGACTGGAGCTCAAACGAGGGAGCGTCTTCGCGTCCAGCCGAATCAGGGGCCTGTAGATGTCTCCCAGACTGGCGCCGCAGACTGGAAGTCGTTGCAGGGTGCAAGGTTTGGTCTCCGTAGGGGTCTGAAGGGGGATGGAGGCCAGAGGAGGTGATGTTTGGGGTGCTGCCCATGGCCGTTGTTCGGTTAGTGTAGGAGGAGCGGCTGGTGCTCCTGCCCAGCGTCATGGTGCCTTTGGGATACCCGCCAGAGGGTTCCAAGGAATCTCGCTCACAGGGGTACATGGTGCCTGAAGTTGCATAGGCAGCACTCAAAGACTGGATGTTCTCCATAGATAGGGTTTTACCCCCTGGAGCTGTCGCTGAACCACGAGTTGCTCCTTTGTCTGCTGCTGTGCCGGGTTTGATCTTTGAACCTGGCCTTGACACCGACCCTTGACCTCCAGCCAATTTAGACGCTGGTGCAGGCCCACTCCCTGACACGGAGCCTGGTTCTAGCCCCGAGCGGGAGCCCGGTGCAGAAATTACAGCCTGTTTGCCTTTCCCCTGTTTGGGGGATCTGGAAAAGCGTGAATGAGATGTGCTGACATCAGTGTGCCCACTACTCTTTGGACCAGCCGACAGCTTGCTGTGCGCTGGCTTGGCTCTAATGTTTAAAGGCATATTTTTATATGGCAAAAGTTGACCTTTGAGAAGAGACTGTTAAAGTTGGGAATATTTTCATATCCCTTTGTGGAACCAGAATGGATAACAAGGTTTAGAATAAAGGCCACCTCTTGGCCTCTAAGTTTTCACCTGTCCATTCTTGATCATTTCGGGCTTGAGGCTGAGTCTCAGTCAGTCCTATTAGAAGAAAATGGCAGTGACTGTTGGCTAGAGGGCTCCCAGACAAAAAGGCCAGAGGTCTTGTGGTTTCAGCTACAGTGCAGGACATCATGGATTCTAAACGGGTAAAAGAATGACAAATATTGAGAGAACGCTATCACCAATCACATAAAAAAATATATCACAAGCAGCATCACTACATGGTTCAGAGGGCTGGTATCATTGTATTATACTGTTGCCAATATAAGGATCAATCTGATACCAAAATAACGTTTTTGTTACTTTACTTTGAGCAACATAAAGACGTCTTTCTCCAGAACCTCTTTCTCGAAAAAAAATCAGGGTTAGGGTTATCAATAATAAGAGTAGAAATCTGATCAACGATGCCAATTTTGTGTTCGCTACACAGCTCTACAAATAATTAAGACCTGACAGACTGAAGAGTGAATATTTGTTGCACTGAATCATCCAGAGAACCAGTTACAGACAGCTATGTAGTGCATCACAATTATATTCTTGATGTAGTGGGGAGAGGGACCAACTTGTCCATTTCAGCACCAAGGACAGCACTCAATCCTCCATCATGAAGCACATGGATTCTAATGTCTGCTCAGGACTGAGGGAACCTGAGCTAAGGCCAATGCAGACTGTAGAGGGAATTGGAAGAGCAGCCTTATCTGCCATCCCTCATAGGTACTTCAAAGCTCATTGTCTGACTTTATATACCTACCATAGAATACCTTAGGATTCTACTAAAAATGGACAAAAGGAGGCACTTGTAATAAAGAGTAAATCATACTTGACTAGTCAAGCATGTTAAGAGTGTGCCCATATTAGGATACAATCAGCATATACAGTAATATACTATATGTTTATGTCATAAAAAAGCCATACAGACAAGTAGGTAAAAAATTATCCCCAGGAAATCAAAGTAAGCACAACGCAGTCCATGGTGGACCAGATATTGGGGACTGTCCGCAAAGCAGAGGCAAATCCAAAATCATAATCCCTCCTCTAATCCAAGAGGATTGGGTGCTTTGAGTCACGATGCAGCTGACAGATTGGTTAAATCCGCTTGTCAGTCATAACATAGCTGTCAATCCCTTATCCATCATTGTTTGAGACAATGACTTTAGCTTTATGTGCAGCAATGACACCATCATGTCTGCGAGTAATTTCGGTACACAAATTGTGCAATTCATTTTAAAAAATGAGGATTTAAAATATAATGACAAAGATGAACTGGTCAACCATTTAAAACAAGGAAACCGCGAACATGTTGGCTTGCTACTATTGAAGCTTTGCTTCATATAATAGATATAATTTGCATTAAGATGGAGGTCTCGGTCAGTTTCGAAGGGAACGCGCTAAATTTACGCAGCTGTATAACTCCTTGTCAAGCCATACTGGCAAAAGACAAGCACGACTGATTCAAATACTAAACAAAATGCCGAAAGTGGTGCAACAGAGTAGTGAACGTCTCACTTCGCCTCAAGCCTCTGCACTTCCTTGTGAGTTCGGCAGCCAGCTGTTGCCGCGGAGAGAAAACTCGAGTCACCGCCCAAACTAACTCGTTAATTTACATGATTACATTTGCCTCCCTCAGTTCAAAAAGCGGCCAGCCACCCTAAGGGACAAGCTATAAAGTAGGCTGCATCATCACGAGTGGAACGGTCGTTGTGCATGCGACTATACGCAGCCTGGACACAGACGCCCGAATAACTCTACTACGACCACGGCATGAAGGATTAGTTTCTTGCTCATATGCACACGGCTACACGACTTCGAGCTAGAACCTTACATAATAATTAATCTGCCACACAAATTGAATGCAGTTTCATTTGTTTAAATAATATTGGCAAATGATGCCACAACGTCCAGGTGTGCACGCAAGGTGTGCTCCAGCTTACCGGGCAGGCAACTCTCCATCACCATGAAGTCCCAACCGTTCCGTGTCCGACCTCGGCGCAGGCTCCATGATTTCATCGGCTCAGCTGTCTCATGACCTGTCCTGCCATCGGGTCCGCGTGGGCGCGCTCTCCCAAACTGGCGCGTGCGCGACCGGTGTGGTGGGGCAGCACGACCAGCAACAATGGGAGGGTTCCTTTTTTTTTTTTTTCTTTAATAGGCACCTACATGACACTTGAACGGTTGTATGTACACGAAGCCAAATTTGAAAATAAAAATATATATAACATAGAGTGCCAAGTAAATTCAATTAAATAAAAAAAAAATGGAATTGAATTTTAGTTATTATACAGATCAGGCAACAGATATCCTACCCTAACAGTCATAGCCACATTTAATGCCATGAAGGCAAGTTTACAGGGCTATAAGAAGCTGATGCATGGGAAATAACATAAAATTACACCACGATTGGATGTAGCCAAAGGCTGTAATATCCTGACAACTGTGCACCTGGGCGGGGCTCTCTGTTGCTCTTTGAGAAGGTTAGGAGACTGCAGCTGTTCAGGTCACTGTTCATGCACTGAATATAATTCACCCAGAAAATGAGCAAGAATAACGTTGTCAGAGTTTCACTCTCAGAAAAGTGATGGTGTTTTGTCAGATGGAATTCCCGGGCCACGAGACAAAAAAATGAAACAGAGATCCCAGTCCACAAGTAGATAGTAAATAGGTGTTTTTGCTTTCATGCATGCACATCTGTTGTTCATCACTGAATTGTATATTCTGGTCAGGAGCTTGCAGAATTACTTATGTAACACTTCCTTGCCCTGAAAATTGGTGTAGCCAGATGTGGCCCAAGTTTCCTCCTTAAATTTCGTGAGAAATGACAGGTGACTTGTCTAACTTTGAATGGGTGCAAGCAGAGAACGCAATTGTCGGTGACCTGTACACAATCAGTTTCAATTCCTCCTAAACATCTAACAAAAGAGAAGTGAAACTTTGATATTGTGGGTGGGGGTGTTGTTTACACAAGTATAACATTACTCCTTTGTAATACTTGAAATAGAACTACTAGTGAAATCAAGTCAACTTTATTTGTATATTCCAATATTAATGTCTATATACAATGTACAGTGTCTTGATTTGCAGCCAACAACATATTCCTACACAGCCCAAGCTCACTAAAGACAAGTATTAAAGAATCAACATCATATTTTGTTCGATAAAAAACAACAGAATAAAAAAAGTAAAATATTTACAGTGCATGGAAGAGTGGTTACATTTTAAAGGTACTCAATACAGAATTCAGAGCATATCTGCTGCCTCCACATGGCCCATAGTTACATATTAAAAACATCCACCTTGTATCATTATATATGTGACACATGCAGTTAAGGAGGTTTGTCCAAATGATGCAATGGAAAGATTCTTAACAACAAGGGCTTTTTGCAAGTGCTCTCTATTAGCAGTTGAAAGGAGGTCATATAAAACTTTCACTCATATTGTTGTCATAGAATCGGAGGTTATCTGATGACAATGCCATTCTTATTCGGTTCCAGAAAAGGGGTTGAGCCCTTGGGTTTCTCGGCCAGGACAACACAGATTTTTTGCACAACCGTTTCCTCAGCTGAAGGTACTTCAGTTTGGGAAACATCTCATCCAACAGAACCAGCATAGCTGCATCCACCTTATTTGGAGGAAATCAGAGATAATTTAGTGTTGTGACAACATGGCAACAACTCAGACGGGATAAGAGTCACACCCACAAAATGCTTATGGAAATAAAAAGTAAATTTTACTCACCTTCTCGTCCAGAAGCCGCTGTTGAACCATGAAGAAAGCCTGGCGGATCACACCGTTCACTGTTTCACCACCAGTGGCACCACTGGACAGCACAAACACTGTCTTCACACTGCTGTAGACAGCATTGTGCAGATTTTCAATACATGAAAGCCCAGGAATCCAGTCCCTCTCCTCCAAACAGAGACAAAACCTCCTGTGACCTGCGTTCTCCAGATTGACCGTTAACTCATTGTAGACCCAATCCCTCACAGTCCGGTTCTGGGTGTCAAACACCACAAAAGCATCATAGTGATAATGCGAATCACTACCAGCGAGCTGGGAGTAGCCTTTATGTCCTGCCCAGAGTACCTGTAAGCAATACCACAGATCCCAGCCATAGAGATGCTTCAGTAGGGGCAGAACAGTGAACGCCACAGCAAAGAAGGAACAGACGACAAAGGCTAAGCTACCATAAATGTCCTGGCAGGAACGCTGGTCCATAGAGAGTACACTCTTGCCCTGCTGGGACTCTGGGTAATCACAGTGTACATATGTGGTGAGATAAGGAATCTGTACTGGAGTAGTACTCAAGAAGTCCGCAAACCAAGATGTATCACAGTCACATTTAAAGGGGTTGGCATGCAGGGTGAGTTTCTGGAGGGCACTACCATTTCTAAAGGGGGCAGGGAGAAAGTGGTGGTTCAACGCTTTGATCTGATTGTGGTTGAGATACAGGTAGTGCAAGGATTTCGCCATAGTGAAGAAATCCTCAGGAATATTACTAAGGCGATTGTGACTGAGGTCTAAGAGAGACAAATTTGCTCCAAATTCTATGACTTTGAAAGGCAAATGATAGAGGAAGTTGTGACTAAGATTCAAGTGACATAAATTGGTGAGTGCGGAGATATTTTGCCATGGGAAATAGTTCAGCAAATTGTCACTGATGCTAAGAGTCTCTATGCTTCCTGGGAGGTTACACAGCACTTCTGGGGAGACTGACTTCAGATCATTGTTAGAGATGTCAAGGTAGGTGAGGTTTGTAAGGTTTTGAAAGAAATGAGTGTACTTGTTGTTATCAGACTCCCACATAATGTCCAGGTGATTTCCATAGAAGTAGAGATACTTCAAAGAGCTGCTGATCAGCCTTTGATCTATTCGCATCCCAATGCCATTGTTTGCCAGACTTAGAACTTCCAACTTTGTCAAATTTTGAAGGAACTCAAAACGATGACCCATGCCTTTCATTTTGAAGTGAAATTCATTGTTACTAACGTCCAATACCTTCAGCGTGGGTTTAAGCTCACTGAAAGCGTCTTTATAGTAAAAATCAAATCTATTGTATGACAAAATGAGAACAACTAATTTTTTCAGGCTTTCAAATAGCCCGATCTTCAATGCCTGGCTCATGTAATTGAAGGAAAGGTCTAAACAAACAGCATTTTCCATCCCAACAAACACCTTTTTGTTAATAGACAAAATGTCATTTTGAGACAGGTCAAACAGCAGTTTATCACGGCAGAAAATGTTTTTAAAGTCTAACAGAGATTGGAATTGTGACACATTGTCCTCAAATGATTCCAGCCTGTTCGAATGGTTGGATTCCCAGTTACCACTTCCAGATGTGGCTTTTTGATCTATTAGCATAAGGGGTGGGTCAGGGAAATTGTGTGTATACAAATTCTGGTTCTGACAGCTTTCTTGTTCCTCAATCTCAAAGGAGGGACTCGAGCAGCAGGGAAGGAAATTAAGCATGTTTTGGGAGAGGTCAATATTGATGAGAAGCGGTAACTGCTTCAGAGCTGTTAAGCTACAATTATTGATGAAGTTCATTCTCAGTTCTAGTGTTTTTAGATTTTGTAGTTTGGACACAACATTAAGACTCTCTTTTGAAAGCGTGTGGAAAAAGTTACCACTCAGAAGTAGACATTGCAGACCAGACATATTGGCAATATATGGGGAGAGGATCAGTTCCGGAAATGTCTTCTGTGGTTCATAGTTATAAATGAGGCTAATCCAAGTGAGGCCCTTCAGCTCTGCAAAGAAGGTGCCGTTACGTATAGCATATGCCAGGAGGTTGTCGGAGAGATCCAATCCATCCAATTTCTCCAAAGGCAGGAAAAGACCCTCTGGGAATGTTTTCAGGGAGTTTCCTCTCAAGCTGAGGTGGGTGATGGAGCTGTTCTTAGCATAGAAGGAGTCTGGGTGTAGGCGTAGCGGGAGATTTTGTGGGCAGGGAAAGCAGGGTCTGGCTGCATGGTCACAGCGCTGGCAATTCCACTCCAAATTCAAAAACGTGAGGAGAGTCAGGTTGGCAAATGCTCTTGCTAAGACCTCTGTGATTGTATTCTCTCTTAAATCCAGACTTTGCAGTGAGGGTGGCAACCCTTTAGGGATAGCGGTGAGATTATTGTACCCTAAGGTAAGGTTTTTGAGTTTTGGGAGCTCTCTGAAAACCCTCTCGCTGATGTTTAAGGACTGGTTGCAAGGGTTTGCATAAAAGCAGTTCCTGGAGAGGAAGAGCTCTACGAGATTTGGAGTTTTTAAAGGGTCGACAATGTTGAAGATACAATTATTCTGTAGGTCAAGAACCTCCAGGCTTTCAGGTAACCAGGGAATAGAGGTGAGGCTGTTTCCTGACAGATACAGACGTTTAAGCTTCAATAGGCTGAATGCATAATAGTGGATCTCCATTTTGCATGAGCGGTCCTCCAAAGCTCTCAGGCTACCTGGTTGACAATTTTCCATTATTTTCAGAGTTTCAAGGTTTTGGACACCCGACAAATCATCCTGCCCCACTCGATGTATCTTAGTCCGACTTAGATCGAGCGACACTACAGTAGTTGACTTGATGAAGGGGACACGCTTGAGTGGTCTGTTGTAGCAGTCTACTGTGGTGGTATTCCTATCAGTGTCACATGGGAAGAAGATGGTATTTATGGTCCTCACTAATGGAAGCAGCTGGCAAAGGATGAGGACATTCTTCAACATAGCCTGAAAAAATAAAAATAAAACTTAACTTCAGTTGTTTGTTAACGTTTCAGAAGATGCAGTCTGAGCAGACCATTTCATTTGACAAAATATCAAGCATATTCACTAATTTTTCATCAATATCGTCATATACACCCTACAGTTAAAGCAGCTACTAACAACTGTAAATGAATCCCGTTAGCTTTTTTAAGCCTTGTCAATCGGCCATGTTTGTCCATAAAATTTAACAATTGAGATATAACATTTTCTTACAGTGAGATGCATTACATTTTTGATCGCAAAACAAAATGTTATCTTACTTACCATGACAGGTATAGCATGTATCTTAACATTCACATCGGGAGCAAGATGAAGCAATCTTTCGTCCAGGTGGGCAGGGGAAAGATTAAATAACTGTATCCAAACGTCACTGCAGTTGCAAGAAACTGAATACATGTATGCAGAAGTGAAAGCCTGTGGGTATACACAGCACGATGCAAATCATGTGGCCCAGGTCAAATTCATGTAGGGCACCAGATACAGAAATTATGTAAATTGATTAAAAAATATATATCCGTAAACAGTATAATAACCACTTAAGAGTATTTGAAGAGTGAAAATTACTCAATGCTTTGTTTTTCTGAGTGTACAGATGGACCAAAGAAAGGACAGAGAGATGTTTTTTTCTATTGGACAAAGTATTGTCTATTGTGTGACTTCCTTAATTCAGTACAATTCTAAATAAAAGTAATAAGGAACCACTTCATCACCTGCTTCGAAACTCATTTTCAATCTGAATAAATGCTTATGTATTCATTCATTCATTCATTCATTCGACACAGGTAGTATTTTTACAATCAATTTATTAAGTGCACTGTATCATGAAATCCATTAAATCAAAAGATTGAAAAGATGAAAAGATTGATTATGAAATGATTTTCCTTTGCTAATATAACTTTAAAACACAACTAACACACAGAAGTATTTTCTGTGTGTAAAGACTGCAAAAGAAAAAAGGAAAAACTGTACCAATAAAATGTATTTCTGGTTAATCAAAGCTGCATAAAACCTGCTTTTATTCAAGTGCTGTGTTAAAATATATTTTAGCATCCACGTATTGGAAGTTATGGCTGCAATCGCCGTAGCCAAAGATAGATAACAAGTAAAGGACAGTAATACAAAGTGTGTTCTGGTTGGAGAGCAAGTTCAATGCTTTGGCTTTGGATTGGACATCATACTGTCCTGGAAACAGGAGCAGAACATCCCTTATACACAATAGTGTCTTTTCCCTGCAGCAACAACAACAGTATTGGCATGCCACTATGTATTTATCTGATATTTACCATCACTGACACATGTGTTGAATTATCCACAGAGCGATGTTCATAAAGCCATCAGACTCGGCATCAACCTTGGAGAGAGAGTGATTGTTCCCTGGGTACCACAGTATCCTAAATAACACACACCAGAGCATTAGTGAATGAACAATAGAAGCCCTTTGTGCAGTGCATATCTGACACAACCAACAAAACATGTTACTCAGACAAGCTGCTTACCGGACTGGGACCTGCTTTGCTTTCAGAGCTCTGTAATATTCAATTCCTTGCTTGTTGGGTACACGCTTGTCATCTTCCCCTATGGTAAGCAATACAGGGGTCTGTACCTAGATGAGAGATCACCTTAGGTTACTACATTGTGCAACAGCACCAATGAAACCACATGCACAGAAATACTTATACCTGTGTGACGTGTTTAATGGGGGACTTGTTCAGCATCTGTTCCCAAACAGCAGGGTCAGGTAGACAGTCTGTACTGTAGTCGTAGCCAGTCTCAACCATGCACCTGAAAAATATCATCCAAACATCAACCGCAAGGGAAAAAAGACAAAAAAAAACAGAATGGCTTTGAGGTCTTTTGTTCATGCATTATTGAACACTTCCTTCCTGACACTGAGGCAGACACATGCCCTTTATCTGGCTCACAGCTGTCAGAGTGGAATGTCAAGGGTTCAAATGATACAAAACAACAAAGACGAAAAGTTGTGCACAACTGGCACAGTCACAAAATGAGTAAACACGGGTGGGCAAGGGTGTGGGAACGTGCATGCCAGGATGTACCAGTCCGGGATGTCTGTGCTGCCAATCATAGATGCCAAATTGATGACGGGGTTGCGAGCCACACAGGCCTTGTAGAACCCTGGGTACTGGCCAATCAGATGACAGGCCAGGAAACCACCATGGGAGCCCCCAGAAACTGCCACCTTCTGCATGTCGAACAGGTCCCCTTTCAGAACACTTTCAACAGCAAACTGGTAGGAAGAAAAACACAGGAAACTGTGAGAGATCATTTGTGGTGAAGAAAAAAAGGAAGACAGATGAAAATCAGAAGTTGGGGGACAAGAACAAATAGAAGAAAAATCAATAAAACTATAGCTGATGAGCCTTAAACAGAAACTATGGCAACTAACCTCCACTAAATATAGAAATAGCAACTAAAATCAACAAAGTCTAAACAAAGAGCAATGATGGAAGTCATTTTTACCAGGAGTAAAAGATACCTTCATAGATCTATTTCATGACATGAAGAGCGTGCTAATCGTTTTAAGCAGCATTGGTGCTCTGTCCTACACGGTTTATTCTTACTTGAACATCTTTGACGTCCTGGGTGCCAATATTGCCAGGTAATGAGAGGATACTGTCCTGGCCGTACCCAAGAGAGCCACGATAGTTCACTGAGCAAAGAAACAACAAACAAAAATAGAATTACCACTTGTCTCCACCAAGTCAAGCTGCAGTTTACATCTATGTCTGTACAATATGTCATTACTTCATCTTTCTATCCTATTAGACATTTGTGTGAAATTGTCAAAATTAGCATATGAATTATTGAGTTATGGCCAACAACGTGTTTTGTGAGGTCACAGTGGTCTTTGAACATCAAATTCTAATCATTTCACCATTGAGTCCAGGTGGATGTTTGTGCCAGATGTAATGAGATTCCCTCTAGACGTTCCTGAGATATCGTGTTCACAAGAATGGGACGCACATACGTACATATGGACAGACAGATGAAGGAATGGACGACAACCCCAAAAACATAAACACATTTCCATCAATGTATCAGTCCTAGATATTATAGTTTTGCATCGAGTCATATTTCTCTGGAAAATATACCAGGAAAGTTATGATTGGTTAAGCCTGTGAAGTACATGAGTACTCTTAAGATGTTCACAAGATAGGAAAAACTAAGCTAAGCGCAGTGAAGGGAAGTGACTCAGGAAATAAATACTTTTTGTAGGCCGAAAGCCGAGCCGAACCTATTCTGTTTTCTGAGACAGCACGTGAACCTTCCTCATCCCCTTTTTACACAAGAGTACATATTCTATGGGTGAATGAGCAACCTCTGAGCAGGTGTCTCACATAAAAGCACTCCACATTAACATATGAACATACCCAGTAATGTAGCAAAGCCCATCCTGCACAGCACAGAGGAGGACAGAAGCCAATCAGCTACAAACACTGAGTGAGGACCGCCTAAGTAAAAGAAACAAGTTCATGTAAAATACAGATTCAAATTTTGTATCAAAATGACAACAGATAACATTGCATGTAGAATCAAATTGATATACAACATCTTACAAACATTATCTACACTTGTAGCACTTGACTGAACAGAAACCAATCCCAACACAAATCCAATTTCCACTTCAGCAGGAATTCAAATGGAAGCAACATTTCTATATTAATTTAGCTTTTTGTAGATACTACATTAGGTTAAAACTGTACAACGATTAACAATTATGTACCACTACCTAAGTGTTGATTTTGCCTGTACTAGAAAAATAATAATGACTCCAGAACCATAATGAGAGTAACCAACCATGAGGAATGACAACAAGAGGCAGCTTCACTCCATCTTGAACCTCCTTTGGTTTGATCAGCAAAGCTTCAAAATCAAGGCCGGCTGGAATATAGAAAGAAATAGTTAGTCCTATAAGATTACATCGGCTGTTCTTCTTGTCTCCCAAAGACAACTAAATCGTTTCAACCCTCCATAAACTAGAGGACATAATTATTCTTTCTAAATTAAAACAGGAGCTTTATCCTGCAAACTCCTTTACTCCATCTCCAGTAAACAGGACTGCCTGCTGCTTTATCATAATGATTACTATCGCATCATTTTGTACAAACTTATTAAACCCAGCCACGACTACATTAAGTCTATGTTTATTCTTTAAAAAGCCAGGTGGCTGTTAACTATACCTCTAACCCCAAATATTATATATTCCTCCTGACTAGTTTATTACGTAAACCTGTCCAAGAGATAGCTTTGCAAAACATCTTAACTTTGAGACCTTATAATTCTCACTTTTCGAAAGGTGGTGGTTCAACTCTCTGGACTGCAGAGTATGTGAAGGAGTTTCTTACATATTCTGTACACTTCATGTATGTGAAACAAAATGGAGTGTGGACAAACCTAACGGCATCTCTTCAGACCATTCGACGAAAACAGAGAAAAGCAATGTATTTCAGGTCCTTCTGTGAGGAATCCCGTCGAGATACTAATAAAACATTCTTACGGTGTTGACTGTTGTCTTGCTCTGGTGGAGGAGTGAAAGTCAAGATCTGCCAATCAATTTCTGGCATCGTCTGAGAGTCTTCCAAAGTAACCCAGACCACTTCCTCCTGAGAATCCCTGGCCGGAAGGAAACCCACCCTCTGGACAAAGAAATTAAATTGCAATAGGTGAATAAGACATAAGTTTTTGACTAATAAAGCCCCCCCCCCCACACCCCCTCCACCCCATCCCAAAAATTAAATTCCTGCAATAATATATTAGGTATATACTAGAGAAAAATGTGAAGAATCAAATAAAGACCACTTATCCTACCAGACTAGGAGGGCAGTTTGGAGAGGAGCAGCTGACCACCATCAAATCTCTCTGTATGTTCAGCAGACACCAGTTACCGACATCGGTCTCTACAGACAAACAAAGAACGTCATCAGACACAAAAGGTTGAAATAAACATTTCCAAGCTTCCCAGAACACTGATGCAGTAAGCAAATGACCTATTGGAGACCGTAAACACCAAACAACAATAAACAAGACCGTCAAGACATGAGCATGAGTAACACCAAGGCTGATCAATGTGTCTAGCCACTCACCTGAAGTCAGAGAGGTGACGCTCCCTGTGCTCATATCCACCATCAACAGATCCTACAAGAGAAAATAATACTTTTTTTCAGGTTAAGAAATAATACAATTTCCTCAGTCTGAATACTTAATGTGTAAAATATACAGTTGTCAGCAAAAAATATCAACATTGTTTGATTTGTATCATAATAACAAGAAACTTCCCAGGAGTTGACTGTACCTTGCGGCTGCGCTGAGGGCAAGCAACAATAACACGCTGACTATCAGCTGACCAGCACTGAGGGGACAACTGAGAGCTGTAGATACCAGTAAAGCCATCTGTAAAGCCACACAGACACAGACAAGTTTGATATATAATCAAACTAGAATTACCACCTCACAGTTGTATGCCCATCAAGTTTCAGTTTACATTCATGTCTGCCCAAAATGTCATAATTTCGTGTTCGGTACGGACGGATGGACGGACAACATGAAAACATAAGGCCTCCAGCCAGAGGCATGAAAAGGGTGCACTCATGTGACCATCAAGTATTCCTTACCCTCTCCAGGTCTCTTCACCACGTCCACCACCACTGAAGTCTTCTTCGTATACCAGTCGT